GGCCTTGGCCCATCCCCGTCCCCAGGGAGGTGCCCGATGCCCAGGGCTGCCCCGGTGCCCCCCGGCTGCCCTGATCCTGGCCGGGGTGCTGGGATGGGCCCTGGCTGCCAGGCCCTGCCATCACCCACCCGGTGAGCTGCCAGCCCTCACCTCCGTTCAAACACGCTAACACTGCTTCTTTTGGAAGTGCTGCCAACATTTTGGAGTATAGCTCATGACTTTATAATACCAGAGACAGGCAATAATGAATTGTACAACTTAACGCTAACTGGATCTGCTGTTTTCATGCCATATCAGCTTGCAGTCTTATTGCAAAAGCACATGAAAGCTGCCCTTAAATTCTTCCCACATCCTTTGCTGAAGTAATTCCTGTGTGTGTAGCATAGGTCCAACTCAATTTTTAAAACCTTGGTAAAATTTTCCTGGAGTGTTGTTTTAAAGTAAAGCAATACTATCTATTGGAGATGAATACAAATGCTGTAAATATATTCATTCCAGAAATTAAAAAAAAAAAAAACCCAAAAAAAACCCCCACAAATGCTCACGGTACAAATGCTCATGGTACAATTACTTTGAGCGCAGCTTCCACTTGCCTTTTTCTTTTTGTCATGCTGAAGACACCCCATTGCCACTGCGCTTGGCACTTTTGGAGGGCTCTGCCAGAGATACTACGGAGAAGGAGGCTACTCCAGATTGTGGCTAATTTGAAAATAAAAATGACAACTCTCCTTTTAAATTAATTATGTATGTGACAAGCAGAATGTCAAATACAGGCAGCTAATGCTGCAGTCCAGCATGTACTTTAAAAGCTTCTTCCTGAAGATATGAAACTTTCCCTGGTTTCAGGCAGCTGTATTTGAATGTTTGGGGGCAGGACATTTTGGGGGGGGTGGGGCAGAAGAAAGACAGAGGCTGGACAGTTTTTATCTGACTATAAGTCATTAAAAGCAAACCAGATGGTTCACTTAACGGTGGTATTAAAGTAAAATGAGTAAAAGTATGCCTAGGGCACAGTAAAATCTTTAATTTGTTTCTCATCCTCAGCCTTAGCCAGTGATTGATGGATAATTTCACAAAAGTGTCCAGATTAGATTCTGAATTAATCAATTTATTGTAATATTAATACAGTGCAATTGCTGATGCATTTACTTTTTATTGCATAGACTTACTTCTTCACAGTTTTGCTTACCTTTGGGGTATTGCTCAGTTCAGTCACCACTGAGTTCCTATGGAAATAAAAAATCTACCTTTATGTGGAGTCCTAAAAATCTTTGGCTGAAATAACTTTGTCTTGAGGAATGGTAATATGATACAGCCCAGATGACATGAGCACAGTGTCCCAAGACGTTTTATTCTACCCCATGACTATCTGCCATGGCCCATTTATCTGACCAACTTTATGCAGAGGATAACAGACACTCTTTTGCAACACAGGTTAGCACACAGATTGAAGCTATAATATCTTGCATTGGCTAGGATTGGTCCTGCTAAAAGCATCTGCAGTATAGTTTATACACATATCTCATCACAGCAAACTTCCTTTGCAGTGAGGTGTCTGGGTAGTGAAAAATAACTTCAACTTAAAAGGAAAGTGGGGTTTGTTATTACTACTCATTTCAACCTCATAACCTAACAATGGTGTTAAGTTTTATATACAGAACCATCAACTGTGTTTTTAAGTGCATTTCACCTCCAGGCCCTTCTTTTGGCCTCAACTTGCACCATTTGTTTCTCCTTTAATTTTATTCCCAATTTATTTTTTTTTTACCCTGGTTATAGTAGCAAGTTCCCCCTTCATATAGGTCACACAGACAAAATATTGCTTCCAAGATAAACTGACACTTAAGAAAAAATAAAACAGATGACTGTCTTTACCTGGATAAAACTTTTCTACCACGCAAGCGGTCAAGGACAGATAATGCAATATAAAATACTATATCAGTTTTTTGGATCTTTTCCTCACAAGTGAATGTTACAAATTTGTCGTCTATGAGAAACTTTTCTAGAGATCTGCTTGCTTTTTCCAATATATAAAACCAAATTTTTTTTCTGAAAAGAAGGGAACAAAATCCAAACTATTTTGACCCAGCTATTAAGCAGTTGATGCTGATGTTGTGATATAAGCCTGTTTCACAAAAACCCTGATGACAGGCAGTTAGAGAACTATCCTAGTTTACTGCAATCAAACAGATTGTAATCGTACCTTTTGAGACCCTTCATGAACCAGATTCTTGAGGCCACACATGGTGACACACTGTAAGTTCACTGTTGGTTTGAAGAGCAGGCACTCAGCCAGCCTTTGCTCTATGTAATATACACCGGTACGTAGGACATGACCTCTCCCAAGGTCTCGCTCTCACAGTAAATAATCCACATACAGCATGGCCAACTGAACACTTCATTTGTTCTGTCATATCTTAAGAAAGTTGTAAAACTAAAGGTATTGAAGTTGGAAAAGATCTTGTCAGAGGGAATGTTTATTTCCAAAAGTTAATGCTTTTGCTGAAGGGCTAGAGATTGAACCTTTGATGAAGATCATCTCATTCTCAATATTGATGAGTCATTACACTGAGATATACTTTGTCTTCATATACAAAGTCACAGTCAATCTTACACAGGTAGATTAATTGTGGAGGAGGAGTGGAAATTTCATAAAATATGGACTTGAAAAAAATCACACAAGTTTCCATTTTTAGCTCCTTAGGTGGTCTGGGCTAGGTAAAGAATATTATGGAAGATGATTCCCAGTGGCTCCAACACCTTTTCTAGTTTGACCTGTCTTTGCTACCTTGTTCATTGAAACCAGGTTTAATTAAAATGATGATAAAAATAAGTTTGGGAGTTCAGCCTGTAACAAGTCTCATAACAACACTATTCCATGGTTCATATGAATTAATGATAGTCTGTTACCAAGGGCTGTTTTTGTCCCAGTATGATACAGACAATGTTAAAGAGACTTTCAAGGCAAACAAAAGTTGAATTTTGATGGGAAACAATCACAAAAAATACACAGGTTTAAAGACAAAATTCTTTTCATGCCTTTTCTGTTACAGGTTGTCTTTGAGGAAAATTATACTTAAATATCCCATTGAAATTACTTCCCACAGTAGACTTCTAGTCTGACTTCTTAACAAGCAAGTCTAACAGATATTCGTCAGAGGCTGCAGTTATATCTAGTAAATCATATAATTCCTGTAGGCCCTATGGCTGAGTATATTGGCCAATTGAATGGGACTCAAGAGACCTGAACTCTATTCTAGGTTCCGAGACTAGCCTTCTGAGAAACTTCAAATTTCTATTCTTTGTTATCAAAAAAACAGAGCAAATGGTATTAACTGCTTTTGTGAAGGGTTTTGAAATCTGCTTATGAAAAATGCTGCATACAAGCTACTTACTGGTATTTTTATTATCAAGAGAAAGGACTCTGTGCAAAATCACATGGAATGCTCGTTTTCTTCCTGAAGGAGAAAATTAAATAGAGTGCCTCAGCACATCTGCTAATGATTAAACATGCTACGGTTCTGATATTTTGTATTATTGGACACTTTTGGATGTGTGGTGACAAAGAGTTTTGCCCTTAAAGGCAGACTTGTTGCATGGAGCATGCTTTCTGTAGGGACCATAGGCATAAGCGCACATGGTGGAGCACTGTGCCACCAAGTGGGTTGTCATTAGGCCGCCAGCATAGCACTGATCTGGGCAGAAAGTTGGAGGAAGCCCAAAACACTGACCATACGGTCCGGCTGGAGGCTGCCCTTCCAGCATGGTAGGGGCATAGCCAGGCATTGGTAAAGTCTGTGTGAAGATTATATATATTCTTTCAACCTACAAATCTTTCTCTTCTACAAAGCATGCCATCCAGCAATGCTAAGTATTTTGCTGCATAGTCAACTAGGTATTTTTTTTCTAACTTGTATGCAGGAAAAGAGAAGCAAAGAGCTGGCTGAGCAAATCCAGCTCTCCTGACTAATAAACATATCTTTTCTATGAAATCAGCAATTTCCAGGAATCTGCTACCTAATAGATTCACTTTTTCCCATTAATTTCTTCACCTATGCCCTGACTTTAGAAGCCATTTTAATGTTTTAATTTTTTAATTTTTATTTTCTCTAATGTAACAACAAAATAAATTGTGGTTGATTAGCCTTGGTTTTAAGGCCAGGAGGGATAAATAAGTCTTTATCAAAAGAACAGACATAAGAGCATGATTTAATTGGTCATACCTTGTGTGTGTGCTAAGCAGCATTTCAAGAGACGCGGAAATTGCCTGGGGAAAAAAAGGTGATTGTTTGGGCAGCTAATGCTTTGTATGCTAATTATCATCACTCTCTTCTTTCCCCTGCCTCCACCATGTGTCAGCTTGGTCCCTGTCCCTTTGGATAACGCAACTCATCACTTCATTCCCAGTACTGGAATGGTCTAGTATGCCTGCCTGCCTCCGCTCTTGGTTTGCCACATGTGTGAATGGATGTATTTATCTGCTATTTGTGTATGTATTTAGTATGCTATTATGTTGTGCAGTGTGTGGTGTATTACATAACATCCTAAGGGCTTAAGAGCAGAGCATCCAGAATTTAAATTCAAGAAGTGGCTGCCCTGATCACTTTTCAATTCTTTGCTTACTGCAATACCTTGAATCCAGTGTTTTTCCACTGTAGGATCTCACTGTCCTATGTATTCCTAGAATTCCAGACTAGCATTTAGACCTGATTGATGTATGCTTAGCTTGGGAGAGTGATCTGCAGCTTCAGTTCATGGTTTTTCTCAGGCAATTTCTTACAATATTGCAGACCATTTCAATTCCAACATCAAGACACAACTCTTAACAATTCACTGCTTCTACTGTGGTATTATCTCATTTTCCAACAGCAGTGTAGAGCCTTTTGGCTGGGTATTAATAATAGTAAAGCATGTATCATGGTATCAGTTAAAGTATCTAGAATTGTGTCCCAATTATTTATTTTCCTTTCTTTTTTTTTATTCCCATTTCACCACCAGCTGCATTCAGACCAGGATAAAGGAGATGGATCACTTAAATACATCCTTTCTGGAGATGGAGCAGGAGACCTCTTCATTATCAATGAAAACACTGGTGACATCCAGGCCACAAAGAGACTAGACAGGGAAGAAAAGCCTGTATATATACTCCGTGCCCAGGCTATAAACAGGAGGACTGGAAGACCAGTGGAACCAGAATCTGAGTTCATCATTAAGATCCATGATATCAATGACAATGAGCCAATGTTTACAAAGGATGTTTACAATGCCAGCATTCCCGAAATGTCAGATGTTGGTAGGTGCTAACTAATAATTGATTTCAGTGTCTGGTCTGGGTTCTTTCTGTGGACTTCATGGAGGGCCCAAAGTTTACAGGCACTGAATACAGACATCTGCTGTTTGAGTCTGAAAGCACCTCAGCCATTTAAAAAAAAAAAAAAAAATCTAACTCTAGGGAAATAGTGACAACGGTTTGCTAGAATCAGAGGTGTCAGCTGAGTGAAACCCACTCCCTCTGTTGTACCACAAAAAATGCAAGTTAATACAATCTAGTTTAGCTCACAGGGAAAGTGAGCTGAGCTAAGCTGTGTGACATGACACCTGAAAGATTTTAATATGCTTTGTTAACATGATTTAGTATGGAAAACCATGGTCACCTAAGTGTTTCTGTACCACCCCTGTTTCTGTACAGCAACTCTTCTTTAGTTCAGGAGGGTAAAAAAAATGGAAAAGCACAGGTGCAGAAATGGTTGTACTCACTTGAGGAGCAAATACTGTCACCTGAGTCAACTCATCACTGATTCTGAGCTATGCCATTAACTTCCTATGACCTTTGTTGTTCTTTTCATGCAAAAGAAAAAAGCTCCAAACTCCATTGAAGTCCATTGAAATCTTTCAATGTATCAAACCATAAGAATCAATCAAGAAAAGAAAAGAACTTCCTTGAAATATGATTTTAAGATTGGATCTTTTCAAGAGAAGTTGACAAGTTTTGCTTCTTTATCTCTGATTCTTAGGGAGGTCATTTTAATTTCTTTGTCAGAGAGTGATGGATGGTTAAACTGCAAGAAACACATTTCTAATCTGAAATAATATCCAGGGAGAGAAGCATTAATTAATCATAATCAAAAATGAGATTAAAATAAAGCTCAAGCAATAGGAAAATAAAGACTTTGGGGCATACTCTCTCCTCTCGTTCATGGGACTTGTCACATGGATGAAACCTTGTCTGGTGTACAGAGAACCTAATATTGACATTTTAATATGTGAAGTGAATACTTTATTCACAAATCTGTTTTAAATGCCAAAACCTAAGCTCATTTTTTATGTTTGTTAACACTTTGCCTAGGATTCAACACCATTTCTTTCTCTAGAAGACATATGAAAAAACAGATTTACATTCCTCTGTCAAACACCTTACAAGCATGAGTAAATTTGCAAATGTATATTCTTGACCTAGATTCAAATTCTGAATGCCTTCATTATCTGGGGAAGGGTGCGTTTCTGGTTTCTTCATAAGAAATATTATGAAGGATCGACATATCCTATCAAAAACTGTGTATTTTAACGAACTGAGAATAAGGCAACTATCATTTTGGTTTTGAATCTACATCCTTTTTGAACAGAGAAACTTCTACAAAATAAGGATCTCTCTAACTTTTGCCACAAGTTTGACCTGAACTTGAACTATGTTTTTTCTATATCATAAACTGTCTTCGCCATGAAAAAAAATGGTGGATTTTTATTTTCTTTAATTTATCATTGCAGGTACCTTTGTTGTGCAAGTTACTGCCACTGATGCTGATGATCCTACATATGGGAACAGTGCAAAAGTTGTCTACAGCATTCTCCAGGGACAACCATATTTCTCAGTTGAATCTGAGACAGGTCAGGGGACCTTATCTGTCATTCTCTGACAATGTCTGTAATATAAAATGACATACTAAGCCAAGCTGGGACATATTAGACAAAAGCTTCAAAGAGATTACATCTTACTCAGTGCAAAATCTGACAAACTTAATAGAGCGATACATCTGTAAACATGACACCTACATTATTTTAATCTTACCAGCAAAGTCTAATAAATACAATTAGTACTGGATGTGAACCAGTTTTCAATCACTTTTAACAAGCAGTGGGTACAGAGACTGCCATGGATGCTTAAATTAAACCAAATAGGTTGGCTTTTAGAAGCAAACGAGAAACAGGTGGGTGTAGAAAAAAGTGCTTAATCCTCATAGATCTTCATAATGGCTAAATTAAGACTGAGGGTTTGTTCAGGTGGGTTTTTTTTTCCTCCTGCTTCTTCAAAACTTGTTTAAAGTAATTATAATTTCTGTACATCTGCAACATATCACTTTAATGCTAATTTTATGAAAGAAATCTTAATTAAGAATAATGACAGAAGAGGTAAAATTGGCTGTTGCGCTACACTAGATCACAAATAGAATCTGAAAGTTCTGGGTTCTGTTTTTGGAATACGTTTAAATTATACAATGTGACTGGAATTCTTTATGGGCTGAGTAACAGACAGCTTTGGAACCTGTGCATGTAAAACGTATGAGTTCTGGCTGACTCAGTTTGTTGTATCATTGACTGTCTGACCACATAGATAATCTCTTCTCAAGATTTATAACAAAATTCTCCAATGAGAACCAAAGGACCTGAACAAACTTCTTAAAGGGGAACATCCATTATGATAGGTTGCTGGAAGCTAGAGAAATTAGTTCTCCTTAGCATCCTTACAGGAAAGGAATGGATTGTCCCAGACAATTAGTCATGTTTCAGCATTGTTTCTTAAATAAATTTGAGAGACTCGGGCAGGGAAAAGGAGGGAGAGATTAGATATCTCAAAGAAAAACCTGAGATGAAAAAATGTACATAATTCTGAAAAGAGGGAGATCCAAGATCAAAGGGAGCTTCCCTTCAAGCATAAGGTATTAGATACTACAAGCAAGGATTTTTGTACTGATGCACTCATTCTGACTTGGACAGTACACTGTGCCCTTTTATCTAGAGTTATAATAAGGATAATGTAGCTGGGAGTCCACCAGTAATAATCTTTTAGCAAGAGGACTGTATGGGGCACAGAGGGGAGGAAAGGTAAACCACAGGCTTGATCTTCCTGCCATGGAAATCAATTGCAAAACTCCTAGAGTGAAATAAGTCTCTGTCAAAACTGCTGTGAATTTTGCCATGGGTTTCAGTACTTGAATTTCACCCCTTTTGCCTACAAAGGAGTCAGTTCTTAGCCTTAAGAGATCCAGCGAGAATGCAAACATTTTCCTTCTTGGTAAATCTGAATGATTGAATTTCAATAGGAGTTGGCCTCATAACTGATATTTGTGCCTTTGAAGAAAGAAGTGACTGGCAAAATCATTTCAATCAATGCATAAATAGAAATATATATACTTGGGCATGCTTGGATGCTCGTAATTTGCTTAATTAATTTCTCCTCATCCATTTAATGTTGTTGTATTGCCTCTTTAATGATGTCTTGCTGAAGTTATCTTTTTTTTTTTTTTAACCATATCTGTCAAAATAAAAATATTGACAGAACAGGAGAGAAAAGATGAAGCACATTATAATGAACAAAGAGCCTTTTTCCAGTTCAGTGAGAGACTTTAGCATGGAACTGAAAGGGGCTAAATGGTTATGTAAAATAACACTGCTCACAAATATCTAGAACATCTTTCTGGGGATGCCACTAATATTGTGTCTGTCACATAGGCAGCAGCCTGAGATATGATATGACAAGTCTGTAATTTAATGTGCCATCTCATAACAGTAAATATTTGTACTGGGCAAAGTTTACTTATTACACAGAGATTGTTTTGTTCTTTAGGCTGTGGGGTTTTTTAATATGAATTTCCATCAAAGTCAGTACTTTACTTGTGAATTCCCCCTCTTTAATTTTCATGTTTTCAGGCATTATTAAAACTGCTTTACTAAACATGGACCGTGAAAACAGGGAGCAATACCAAGTGGTCATCCAGGCTAAGGACATGGGAGGCCAGATGGGCGGATTATCAGGAACCACCACCGTGAACATCACATTGACTGACGTAAATGACAATCCACCTCGCTTCCCCCAGAGTATGGAATATTTACATTCTATGTCTTTACAGTAAAATGGACAAAAATTGGTATTTTTTTTTAAACTCGGATATAGTTTCTGCTGTCATGAACTTACTGAGTATCAGACTGCCTTTAAGAAAGAAAAAGACAACACACGAACAAGCAATAGGATCATGCTAAGGTTAATTGCAATAACTGGGAAACATATCTTTAATATTTTCATTCCAGTTGCAGTAGATAGTCTGAGAGGCAAAATAATGTACAGAAACATTATTTTTCCTACCTATTAAATAGCTTTAACTGATATAATCTATATTTCTTGATCAATATTATTTCTATTAGACCTTGTCATTGACTGCATTTTAAGATATCTGTTCTAATCTAACATATTTAAGTTTTGAATCATATTTATTTAAGTACGTGAAATGAGCCCAAGAGCAATTCTATCAAAATGAATGCTTACACCCAGGAAGCATTTGCCTCAATGCATTTTCCTATATTCTTTGCATACAGAAACAAAAGCACGTACATAAACATACCAGATATTTCTGCCTATTTTCCTTCCCCGGTCTCAGATCATTTGGTAGATAACTGTGTGATATTTAAGGGAATCACTTGAGCCAGATCTCTTAGAAAGTAATTTCTATTAAAGACCACTCATGGCCATAAGTGATTCAAAGTCATTCAGCTTTCATCCGCTTCTCTTTCC